TCTTTCTCTCTTTCTCTCTCTCTCTCTCTCTTTCTTTCTTTCTTTCTTTCTTTCTTTCTTTCTTTCTTTCTTTCTTCTTGTTACTGGGGATTGAACCCAGGGGTGCTTAACCACTGAGCAACATCCCACTCTTTTTTCCATTTTACTTAGAGACAGGGTCTTGATAAGTTATGTAGGGTCTCCCTAAGTTTCTGAGGCTGCCTTTCCACTTGCAATCCCCCCTGCCTTCCAAGCCACTGGGATCACAGGTGTGCACCACCGTGCCCAGCAATTTCTAACCATCACTCATCTATTGACCACAGCTTAAGGTGAAAGGGGGGCCAAGTTGATTCAGCAAAAGTAATTTTCCTCCCCAATGAAATAACATACTAGGAAAAGGAAGCCTCCCCGATTTTTGTAAGATTAGGTCTCACAAACAACGTGGTCAAGCCCCTGGCTACGTTATCTGGTGCTTTTCTTTAATACTCAAGGGACATAAAGGCCAGAAATCTTATCAGCGAATCCTGTTATCCTGAAGAAAGAAAGTCATTTCCCATCCTGAGCCCTTGAGGAGGTGCCTCCTTCAGCTCATGGCTTTGGCCAGGTGGCCCTGCTGAAAGAACCTGGGCTGCCCCTTCAGCCCTGACACGTAAGGTGAGGATCAGAGAGTGTGATCAATCTATGACGCGACAATGCAACATTACAGGCAGGAAAAGAACCATTTCCAAAGCACCCTTTTAAACATTTTATGCATAATTTATAAAACTCATTGAGAAGGTTAAAGATTTCTCTGATGTGCTTTTGATTTTTTCATTATCCACTTATTTATTTGGGAGATATTTTAAGATGCCATGTTTTGATTCCTCCTTGGAGCTAACTACGTTTTTTTTCCCTCCTTCACTTCTGATGTTTATCTCAGATACATTTTCTGGAGATAAATATCTCTTGGAAAATATCATCAATTTTTCCTTTCTGTTTTCTTTGTCTCCGAGGGTTTTCTTGGTGGAGACTGCTGTTTCCTCCAGCTCCTCTCCCTGGTTCCTAGTTTTTTCAGTTCCCTTCTGGGAAACCTGATGGCTAAGTTGACTGAGCCCAGACTCAGCGTTTGATTCTCAAAACCATTTAGTTCAAGGGCAGAGAAGTAGGTGAGGCTTGGAGACACTGGTTACCCAGCAAGTGAAACCAGTACAGGGTGAGCCAGCCTGCACACCTGCTGGAGGGGAGTTTCTCCAGATGATGGGGGACAAGTTTACAAAGTCACTCAGCCTTCAATCAAGTTCAGATCTGAGTGTAATGACTGACAGTGCAAATCAGATCTGACCTTCTATTCTGTCCTTTGTGAAAATGATTGGTGTTGGGATCAATTGTCATTTAATGTGAAAAATAAGAGTCTATTCTGTGTGCATATAGTGAATCTTGCTCTTTTCACATTGCAGGGCACCATGTGGTCAGTCACAATGCTATACTGAGTCCTTGGAGGCAGGCAATGACCCTGGTCCCAAGCCCTCCTTACCTTGGATTTGCCCTTGCTGTAACAGGCTTTCCTGGTGGCCTCGTCACACCCCCACTCCACGGCCTGTAGAAAACATCAAAGCAACAGCAAATGTTACGGATTTGATTGACAAAAGGGGGACATTAAAGGAGGCTTTGATAACCAGGTTAGAAGATGCAGGTGCACCCCCACATCGACACCTGGATAGGATAAAGCACAATGCATGAAATCCAGCCCTGGGCTGACATTTGGGATCCAAATGTAGCCTTGAAAGGACACATGAGCAAGAATTTGCTTTTTAAAGGTGGTAATGGGAGTTTTGGATCTAGTCCCTGTTAGAGACAAGTTAATGAGCTGATGACCCTGGGCCTGACTGTAGGGAGAGCAGGACAATAAAACCACATGACACACCCAATGGAGACTGAAAGGAGGGACCCAGAAACACAAGGCCCTAAATGCTCACTTAGACCTGAAGAATTCTTTGTAAGAGAATGTCCCTCTTCCATATTCCTAGATGACAAGTGAGGGAAGCTTTGCATGTCCTTACGTGTATATATACCCATGACAGTCAATACCTAGCTCATGCAAAGAGCCCATCCGTCTACTGTTACTCTCTAATACCAGCAATTTTCATGTTGTTATTAGCTTTGACTAAATATTGAGAGCCAAGACAGTTCAGTGTTTTTCTCTGACTCCAAATCTAATCCATGCTGATCAATTTGAGATGTACATCTTCACACATGAAATCACAAACAGAATACATGGTGAGTGAAAGTAACAGAAAGCTCTTGCTCCCTAGGAAGAAATGATGCCTGTACACATTGATACACTGAGATTGTGAATCATTCTGAACAAGTTGGAGCATCTGAGTTGTTTTATTTTTCTATTACTAAACAGCGTGTAGATTTTTATAGGGTAAAAATATTTTCTGCAATTCCTCAACTTCTATTACAATTATTTTCTGGGTTATTATTTGGATTGGATTGCTGAAGAAACCGAGATGTATACCAGTGAAGTCATTATCCGGAAAATGGCTAAGTGAGAGAATATTTTGTTAATTTAGACTAATGTTAAATAATAAACTAAACTAAACCAAATAAAAACTAATATCAAATGATATGAAGAAAAATACTGACTTTACCCTTATTGCTAGTGATTTTTTTTTCTGATTCTCCTATGCTTGGGAGAATAATAAAGTCAAGCTAACAACTTATCTAATATCCGCTGTGCTCCAAAGAACATTACATAACAGAGATTAAGTCATAACACACTGCATCTTGTCTAACTTATCTAACTTGGCAAACATAGTACATAAGAAAAGATTCCAGAGAGAACCACGAGAGTGTCTTGAACAGAAACAACATTGTCACTGTTCTCCCTGGTGCAGACTTTGGGGACTTCTGTCCCTGTCAACATCAGATAAGAGAATCCCTAATCCTTTCTGTGATGTTTTCCTGTGGTGATGAAGGGTCACACTTGTGAAGAATCAGCTAAACAGCCTCTGATGCAACTGGAGACAAGCTCCATCCAGGATGGCCAGTGCTTTTCACAAAAGTGATGACACTCTGAAGGACAGGCGGGGCACAACATCCAGGGGGTGTGTCTACAGATCCTGGGAAGTAAAGAGGAGACAAAGGGGAAGAGGAGCCTGTGCCTCTGCTGGGCCCTCCAGTGAATTCCTCCCTGAGATCTCCTTTTAAAGCTCACTCTGATGTTTTTATGTAAGTAAAGATATGTGGTTCTTGTGTTTACTTAAACTGAAAACAGGACATGACACACTCTTTTAGCACTGTTGAACTCCTCACAACTGTCATTTTATGTCATCGGAGGACCCTGTGCTGTAAGTCAGCAAGGAATCAGTGTTCTATAATCACTAGGAATATTTCAGCTAAAAAGGAATCCACAGTGGCTCTCCTTGGTCCCGTCGTTTTGCTGGCTATCAGTGACCTCTTCTGCAAACGCAAGAACTACGACAAAGTGGGTTCCTCCCAAGATTAAGAGGGAAGAGTGTTTGTCACGGGCCATCAAAACCATTCAGACCCTGTTGCCAACGTGGGAAACAAACAGCTTCTCAAGTCCACCTGGTGCTCGGGCAGCCTTCTCATTTTCAAGATAAATATTGGCCAAGGACTGGAAAAGGGAAAGTAATTGAAAAAAGAATGTGGGAGTTTTCATAAACATTTCACTACTTTACCCAGTCTACTGAAAATAACCACTGCTCATACAAATTTATCAGACCAACAGAAAACAAGACAAGAATTATAGATTTTTCTGAAGACAATTTTTAAAAGTAGAAAAGTGAATTTCCAAAGGCATTTTTATTACAGGGTCATTAGCATGCAAATAATATTCAAATCCAGAATTCATTAAAGATATAGCTTTTCTGTGGATTCACCTCAGACAGAAGACGGACTCTAGAGAAGTTTCGAATTAAGGATAGGGCTTTATTGCAGAAAATAGGAGGGATAAACACATACCATTGGGTATCACAGAACTATAAAAAGAATGCAGTGAGCAAAAGGGACTTTTCCAGATTACATGAGAATTGTGGGTTCCACATTAATCCGGCAGTGTCTTTCTTATCACTCAGTCGACTGGACTTTGCCCATTGGATCACTTGGCATTACGGAAGGAAGAAATAGTCCATAGGACACCAACAAAGATATCAATGGCACTTTCTTATCTCAGATCTCATTTCCCCAAGTTATCCACTCCTCCATTTAAACTTAGTTTCCTTTTAGACTTCGTCAAGTCTTCTTCTATTCTTCTAGATCCATCCTAATCAATTGAGTTCCTTTTAATCAAACCTTCTCTTTCTATTCTCAATGTAGACTTTTGTTATTCAATTGTTGTGGTTTGAATCTGAGGTGTCCCCCAAAGCTTCTGTGTCCATGCAGAAATGTTCAGAGGTGAAGTGACTGGATTGCAAGAGCTGCAACCTCGTCCGTCTATCCTGGCGTGAATGGACTAACTGCATGGTCACCGTAGGCAGGAGGAGCCTGGCTGGAGGAGGGGGGTCCCTGGGGTGCCCTGAAGGCTGCAGGTTTCTTGTGTTGCCTTCCCCTCTCCCTCTCTGCTTCCTGGCTGCCATGAGAGAGCTGTTTTCCTTGACCATGATGCTTGGCCTCTCCTTCGGTCCAAAATGGCGGAGCCAGTTACTACCCACTGTTTTTTTAGAAAACATGAGCCCAAAATAACCTTTTCCTTCTCCAAGCTGTTCTCGAGGTGTTTTGATCACAATGATGGAAGTCTCTCTAACCCCATCCACATATCATTATTTTGGAACAAAATCCACTATTGGTTTGTGAAGCTGTCTTACTACTTGTCTTCAAATTCATTTCCAACACTTTCCACCCAAACCTACCTTTATGAGGACCACACAGATGTGAAGGCATTCTACATTTCGGATTTCAATACAACTCTCATAGACCTGTTTCCTGAGTTTTATCTTCTTAAGAGCTTTAATTTTTGTCATCCTTTATCCTTACTTATTGCATGTTAGCCCAGGAGAGACAAGAATATTAATTCTTTCTCCTATTCCACATTTAGTGTTCATTGTATGTTTCAGTAGCAGACCTAGCCGAAATACTGTGGTTACTTGAGTCCTCAAAGACTATCTACAGTGGGCAAAGAGCTTGAAACATCTGTGTTTAAAAGACACAAAGATTTCCTTTGGGCTCAATTGTTTTCTGTGAATTCGTTTAAAAATAAAAAAAAAAAACCATGTCTGCTATCAATTCATAAAAGTTTTGCTTTATTCTTATATACCTCTCTTCCATTTAACAAAGTCATTAAATATCTATCAAATATCAGATAGAAGATACTCTGCTATATAGTGATTGATGGAAGGAAAAGCAGACATATTGATCACAATTGCACACATCAGATATGAATTTACAGTAAAATGTAAGCAGATTTCCTTGGCCTAGACAGCATGGTATTGGATATAAGAAGGCAACAGTGTTCCTTTGCCTTGTTAGGGAAGCCACATGCTGGTTCTCTCAGATCCAGTTGTACACTGAGCTTACCGCATCCTCAACTCTTAGGAAGTGACAGTGCTACAATCAAACCTGTAAAGAAGCAGGGTGTGCTTACAGAAAACCCTTTTATATCTGCAGAAGCCCTGGGGGAGTAAGGTAGTGCCTGCTGTTTTATGGTACAACACACCTCACCGTTCCGCACGCAGACTTGCTCCAGTTGTGATAAATGGATCTGTGATCTCAGGATAAAATCAGATGTTGGAAAGAAAAAAAAGATTGGCTCTTTTGATGTATGTGTAACATACATATAAATCCACGGTTCTCAGAAATATATAAACAAAGCTATGCGTTATTACATTCCACAGCAAGAGAAGCTAATTAGACAGGGACCAGCAAAGGCAGATACTTTTCATAAAAATGAAGAGAACAACATCCAAGGCAGATGGGCCACTGCTCTTTCAGCAGATGGCTCTGCTAATTAGATACTGGCAAAAGATAACATTTAAAAAAACTAGTGTAATTACACAGTGCCAAAAATTGACAACCACCTGAGGGCTTTTTTTTCCTTTTCATATGTTTGCATTCATATTCTTATGTCATGTTTTTCTGTGACACACTGGAGAATGTTACATTGTGGTGACGATTATAAACAAATTGCCAGGGAATGCAAGGCCATGTCTTTGTTTGGAACAAAAAAACAAGTCGGAACTTGCAGCTGTGACTGTTGTGTGACTTGAATACAATGTGGACCTGGTTATCCCTGAGTGGGGTCATCTTCCCTCTTCCCTCGGCTGGCCGCCGTGCCATTTACAAAACAACTGAACTTGAGTTCCAAATCATTGTGTGCAGTCACAGTCACAAAGTGGCACATGCTTTAGTCACTTTTCAAGTAAACTGCCCAACATTCCCCTCTGCCTTTCCTTCTTAGTGTGCACTAAACGCATTTGTTCATCTTCCATATTAATGCGGTACACTTACATTTCCCTTCAATCAAATAAGGCAAGTCCAATTCTTCTCTCTTGGCCACCTCTAAATCAGAAGGCAGGAAGAGGACTTTGGCCATATCATCTAAGCACTGTTTTTTGATGCTCATTATACTGACAT